ATATCCTAACTGGGCTTTTGTCAAGTCAGCGAGGAAATCTACAAAACACACTAATAAACAGAAAAAGGAGAACAACAGATGAAAAAACATTGTCATCCCATATGTTGCTGGAATATCAGAGAAATTCAGAAGGATTTTCAACAAACACAACATCCCAGTACATTTCAAACCCAGCAGGATTCTCAGACAGAGGCTGGTCCACCTTAAGGGCAAAACACCCATACACAAACAGAGTGGTGTAGTGTATGTGGTCCAGTGCAGCGAGGACTGTCCTGACGATTTATTTTCATCCATCCATCCGTCCTTCATTAAACAGGGGTGGAGGTTCAACTGTCCCCCTCTTACAATGCTGTGATTGCTAGTATCACTCAGCCCTCTGTGAACAGTAAACAGCCATCAGTGTGCTAATGATCCATTGTTAGGCTGATGGTCCTTCTTGAGCATGTGATCAGCTGGTTTTGGTTGTCAGCAGCAAAACTGGTTGATCCACTCTGAGAAGGTGCTATTTAAGAGACTGAGCTGAAAACAGCACCTCAGACTGAGGAAGTTTCTTGGATGAGAGACGAAACGTTTCTACATTTTTTTTGCTTTGTTTTTTGTTTTTTTGTTTTCTTGTTTTTTGAATGTCCAGAGGACCAGATTGAACTTTTTTGGATACTATGAATTTAGTTTAAGTGGGCTTGTATAACTAAACAGATTATTACAAATGGTGTCAGAGTCAGAGTCAGAGTTTCTTTATTGTCATTCGCACCTCATGTGGTACATGTGGTGGAGCGAAATTATGTACACAGGGTCCCAGTTACATCCAACAATAAAATGTCTAAGAAAAACAGTAATAACATCTAAGATATGAACTAAGAAAAACATCAACTAAATATACACTAAGCACTCATAACATAAAACATTGAACATTGAACATCAGCACAAACATGAACATGAGTCTGTGAGCAGATGTGCACGCATGAACACATCAACATTGAAACAGATCAGCAGCAACATGAAACAGATCAGCAGCAACAT